CCCGTCAAAATATCAGCTTTTTTCAAAAAGTTGGTGTGCTTTCAGTTCGTTGAAATCTCTACTTTCCTATGGTAAAATAATATATATATATATATTACCGTACAATACATACCATAAACCTTCTATTAAAGAAATAGATAGCACTATAAAGTCTATGGTTAGAGGTAAGTCACCGGGGCACGACGGTCTCAGCATCGAGCATCTCAAGTTTGCAGGCCCACACTTGCCTCGCGTTCTATTTCTTCTATTTAATGCTTGTATAGTAGGGTGGGCCAAAAAAATTAAATCTAGTTATTCGTACAGGCACAGCGTCAAAAAGGTGCTAAATGGCGTAAATGATTGATACGTAAAGTTGAAATATAATTATTATAAATTTTACTGCCTCCGGATTGAGATAGAATTTATTAAAAAATTTAATTTTTGAGCCCATGTTGAGATTTTTTTCTTCACTTTATTTAAATCTTTATTAGCGCTTATTTGTTTTTAAAAAGAATAGTGCATCTTTTGTTTTGTTTAGTTCGAGGACAAAAGTGTAAAGAGGGGTTGGTACCAGTGTGGTGTGGTGTTAGATTTGACAAGAAACCCATGACTTATAGCAAAGACAATCTATGTCTGCACGCATTACGTAATTAAGTGAAGTCACTTTTTAACGAATTATTAAGAATGAAACGTACGAAAAGATGTTGGAATTATCCGTTATTTGGTAGTCTATATGATTTGAAAGACAACATAATATTGCCCACATATGAAAATGTGATGAATTTGTATGGGTGAAACCGACACAAGCTAAAATTCGGGAGATAAAGAAATTGAGGGTAGTGTGATTGCAAAACTAATAGAAATATGGGCGAAATCTTCTATTCCTACAGTTGAACCTAAAAAATGAAGGAAATGCTGGAATCATATCATTTAAAATGCAAAAATTTGCTAGAATCTCACCCAAAAAACCTAGATTTAAGATCGAAGATTTTCGTCATGGAATGACGTCTCGACTTGCAAGTGTCGAGATTTTCCCCTTTTTGGGGTAAAAAGTACCTGCAAGAAAACACAGCTTCATAGTAGATCGATGATCCGCGAGAAAAATGGTAATTGGTAGTATAGATGTCGACACAACAAAACAGATGACAAAATTAGTTATTTCAACATATTGACGGCAGTACGTCTGAGCCCAAAACATTTTCAGAGGAATTAGTAAGCAGCTTAAAATCTGTGAGCCCTCTCACAGATTTCGATAACTCAGTTTACTGCTATTCCTACGAACCTACTGGAGCTTTCTGTTAGTACAGACCAGAACTACTTGTACAGAATAGTCGAAGCAGTTTCAACAGGCACATTTCCCAGCAATTTAGCGAACAAATCACCAGGCATAATGTCTCATGCCCCATGGTTAACCAACGAGACAATAAGATTTTGCATCTGTATGCTAAAGTAGAGACTCCTTCTGAAAATCTCTTTAAACGAATGTGATGAATGAAGCACTCTTGCAACGTAAGCTGTTAAGTTTTACGCGCCGATATGGTTTTCCATAAAAACTCTTTCAAGCTGTAATGATGGATCGAGGCCTTTCTATAAACTTATTGAGTAAACGCAATATGCACCAACAGCACTGAAGGCTGTTATTGACGCACCCAGAAAATGCTTGAATTGTTAACAGACCCCAGCGGAAAATTCGCGAATTAGCTGCACGTCGAATTTTGAAAGTTCAGCTCATGTTAGATCAGCAATATTAAAACCACTGTGTCTTTATCAGTTACCAAAGATTAAATTTGACGCAATAGCATACTACGACCTTTTGAATTGGCAGAAAAGTTTTACTGGACCACCGCTATTAAAATCTGTTACCGAAAAAAATATATTATTTATTGAGCAGAAAGGAGAAGGAGAACCGGATTTACTACGTCTATCTTGTCACACTCAAGCAGTAGAAAGAGCCGTTAAAGCCGTGACAGAAGTTTCAGCCACTATATGCGATAAAACATCAAGAGAGGGATTCATAGATGCCCAGCTAGATTGAAGGAAAGCGATGCGAAAATTCGACAGCAAGAAGGATTTTAACGGCACCTAAACATTTCAATTAAATAATAATTTAGCTAATGAGAATAGTTATTACTCTATTTTAATATTCTTCTATTAATAAACAAAAGATTCTTATGATTTTCGGTCTTTATATTAAAAACAAAAGATCTTTGCTTGTCAATATGCAATGGCCCTTTTTTACTATATTTCTTTAATTTTCACATGACTCCGGAGGCAGAAGATTAATTCCGAATGCTATCAAACTCCGTATTCTATTTACAGTCACCATTTAGCACCTTTTAGTCACTGTGCTCCTATAAAAACCAAACTTTTTTCTTTCTTCATACATATTTGACCCACCCTATTGTATAGCCCATAGTTACATGCCTAGAGATATATGAACTACAATACTACTTGTATTGTAGTTCCAATCGTTAAAAATAGGACAGGCGATCTCGCCGATATTCATAACTACAGGCCTATATCTCTGGCAACCATTATATCAAATGTGTTTGATGGTGTACTTAACACTCAATTAAGTAAATATATAAAGCCACACGATAACCAATTTGGTTTCAAACCTGGGCTGTCCACAGATGGTGCTATTTTGAGTCTTAAGCATACCTACTATTAACTATTATGTTAAACGTAAGACGCCTGTCTTCGCATGTTTTTTTGGATTTGTCCAGGGCATTTGACCTTGTTTCCTATGATCTGCTTTGGAAAAAACTTGAAAAAATCCATTTACCACAGGATACCATAAATATTCTTAAATATTGGTACCAAAGTCGCGTCAATAGTGTGCGTTGGGAGGGTGTCCTGTCGGATCCGTATAGGATGGAGTGTGGGTTGAGGCAAGGTGGGTTGACTTCTCCCATACTTTTTAACTTGTATGTAAATGAGCTGATAGAGGAGTTAACCGGCACCAGAATTGGCTGTAACGTAGATGGCGTTAACCTTAACAATTTAAGCTATGCTGTCTGCGGGTTAAGAAAATTATTAGCTATTTGTGAAAAATATGCTGCATCCCATGGTCTTATCTATAATGCCAAGAAAAGCCAAGTGATGGTGTTTGAGTCAGGGAGGAGGAGACTACAAAATGTGCCGACGGTTACTATTAACAACTGTGTTTTACAGCGAGTTAGTAAGTTTAAATACCTTGGGCACGTCCTACTCCCCGACCTCAAAGATAATGGCGATATAGAGAGAGAACGAAGAGCGTTGTCGGTGAGAGCAAATATGCTGGCTCGTAGGTTTGTACGTTGTTCTCATGACGTAAAAGTCACATTATTCAGAGCATATTGCACTAACTTCTACACGTGCAGCCTATGGGCCAGTTTTACTCGACAAACATACAACTCGCTTCGGGTGCAGTATAATAACGCATTTAGGATGTTGCTGGGGCTGCCTCGCTTCTGCAGTGCATCAAGAATGTTTGCAGAGGCGCGGATGGATTGCTTTTTCGCCACTATGCGAAAGCGGTGCGCTTCTTTGGTGCGCCGGGTACGGGGCGGCTCCAGCAACATCTTACGGATGATAGTCGAAAGAATGGAGTGCCCCTATTTACGTCACTGCTCCGACATCTCCGCAGGGCTTTGTACCTGATAGTTAACTACTTTTTCCTTATTTTTACTAATTCTCTAACATAGATCTTAAGAAACTATTGTTACTAACTCACTAATCAATCAATGGACTGTATTTGTCTGATGAATAAAAATTATTATTATTATTATAGTAAATTTTCTCAGAAAATGCAAAAAATCGTATGCAGTAACGCCCAACGACCTTTGTCATCCTTCCCTACATCTCTATGAATCTTCTTTAAATTATAATTAGATGCCTATTTATTACTATTTTAAGATAACTTATATATACCTGTAGTGACCATAAAAAAATTTTAGCCCTTTAGATGGGCTAAAATTTTCGTATTTCATAGAAAAAAGTAGGAAGGGATGACGGGTCTGGGCGGTATTGCTAGCAGCGAAATAATGGTAATATATATATATATTTTTTTTTTACCATAGGAAAGTAGAGATTTCAACGAACTGAAAGCACACCAACTTTTTGAAAAAAGCTGATATTTTGACGGGTGAATTTTCGATTGAAAATTAGGGTGTTTTTTCGATATTAATTCAAAATAAGGTGAAAAAATAAATACTTTTAATCAAATAAATTACAGCGTATTTGGGACATAGAAAGGTAAGTTTTCACCAAATTTCGTAAAAAAAAAATTTGTAAAAGATAAAAATTAAAAAAAATTTTTTAAATTTTTCACATAAATTTTGAGGTTATGTGAAAAATGTGTGAATACAAAAGTTTTAGATCTTTTTATTACCTACAACTTTGCCATTTAACTTTCTTCGATAGGACTTTTAGTTTTGCCGGAAATCGAGATAAACCGTTTTTTACCCTTAAAACTAACCCCCCTCCCCCTTCCCGACCTCAGATCACCCGTAAATTATTTTTCCTTTAATTTTTATAATATTATCCTCCCTTTCCAATAGGTTTCATCCTACTATTATTTTTTTCACTTTTTATTTTTTTTAAAGGCTATCTGCACTGGTCTAATAGGGGTTCGCAGATGAGAGATGCGAAATACACGGTGACATTGGAATCTACTCATCAATCCCACTGCCTCCAACACACTGCGAACCCTGTTACGTCCGGTATATAATATAAATTAATATTTATTTAGTAACCTGTTTCTTTAAGACAGCTACAGTCTGTCTAATATAAAAATTAGAAGCAGTTAAGTCTAGTACGATTTTGCTTAACAAGAAAATATCGAAACACGTATTGGAGCACGTGAAACATGTTTTTGATTACGAAACGAGGACACGCTAGGTACCGCGGACATTGCTTCTAATGCCTTCACGTAAATGCTTACTTGAATCCTTAATAGATATTAAAAACGTCGCGGCAATTAAAAGCTACGAAATGATTACGCTTGTTGCTCTTCGTGATCAATTAACTTTTTGTTGCAGATGGGTTGCAAGTTAACGTTCGTTGACGACGTGCTGAATCGATCGTTCTACAAGCTTGGGCTCATCGTGGGGAAGCAGCCAGGTTACTTCATCATCATTCCGGTTTTGCTCACCCTGCTGATGGTCACAGGATATCAACGCGTGCACTATGAAATGGACCCTGAATATCTCTTCTCGCCGGTCAGCGGACAAGGGAAATTAGAGAGGCGGATAGTTGAGGAATACTTTAAAGTTAACTATTCCAGTCGGTTTAACGTCGGGAGGATCACACGGCCTGGTGAGTTCTCATTATGTAAAAAGATTAAAAGCGAGTGCGTTATTCGGAGATGATCGGAACGATGGAGAACATTTTGAAGTCGGTTTATTAAACAATAATTCTTAATTGGCGATTATCATTTTTTCAGGTAGATTCGGCCGCGTTATTATTGTAGCTAAAGACAATGACAGAAACATGCTTCGAACAGAGGTGTGGAAGGAGCTGCGAGAGTTGGACGACCTGGTGCAGAACATCACGGTGACCATGTCGACGGGGGAAACATTTACGTACAGAGATGAATGCGCGCGTTGGGAGGGCCAGTGCTTCGTCAACGACATCCTCAACTTGGATAAGATTATAGGCGAGGTATGTATGAACTTAAAATAATATACTATTTAATTCACCGGTGTACAATAAAACTTTTAAATTTGGTTAATAGTGATATCTACTATGTATATCGTGATAGCTCCACTATTCACAAAGATGAATGAACATGGCAAGCTGATTAAATGAAGTACATACCTACTATGCTTTGATTCGCAGGTAGAAGCCGGAGAACTGAACTTAACGTTTCCGATCATGTTTAACCCGGTGACGTGGGAGGCTCACGCTTTTCCTGTTTTCTTCGGTGGGTCGAAGGTTGTGGACGATACTATAGTGTCTGTTCCCGCCGTGCAGCTCGTGTGGTTCGTGAGGACTGACACTAAACTGCAGGAACAACGGTAGGTGACGATACCAAATACCCGTACAAAGGATAAAAGCGACAGTTGCCAATGCAATTCAACTCTGTAACGTTTTGTTAAGAAGTTTTACCTAATAAAAGTTATATAATATTTGTAAAAGTTATTAGTCAAAAGACAATGAATCAATATACACAGTTGTTTGTTTTGTTCCGAGAAAACTTAGACAATAGGCTGTATTGAGTAGGTTTTGACTCATAACATACGTTCTACATATTTTTTCACATTGTGAATACCATTAATACAAGAGAATTATTACAATAGACGATACACTATTCACACTTAATATGTGTATTCCAAATAAAATGCATTGGTGGTATACAGGTTGAGTTCTACACACTACAACTAAAATATCATGTAACTGTATTTGTCTCCTCGATTAGAGTAATAAAACAATGGAAGAATCGTCTTTTTTACGTTTAGGATAAGAGGTATAGAAAACTTAGCAATATACGGAAGTTGTTATACCGTGCACAATTGTTTTGGTACCTGCGTAGAAACATTTCATTTCTACAATCGAGTTATTGTTTTCGCCTCAACACAAATGTTCTATAAATTAATTGTAATTTATGCTGATTACCCTAAGCAATGATCTTGACATGTTTTATAACCGTTTAGAATGCTATACATCACAATTAAACGTTTCAAGAATGCGCAAGTGCATTCCTCCAACTCGGATTGGGAAATAAGTTTAAAATATTTCTTATTTTATTACTTATAAACTCATTTAAATACTCTCTAAAGATGCGCTAGACTTCGTCTGTGTAGTATTATTATTCCAGCCTACCCTGATTTAATGGGTAAATAGTATAAATGAAAATTCTCTAATTTGTTAAAACCGCATTAAAAGAACAACCAGTTTTCTGTTTATTCTTCGTGTCCAAATCCAAACAAAGCAGACATTGTATTTATAATTTTAATTATTATTCAAATGCTTTCAGAGGTGCGGCTTGGGAAGATGCGTTTTTAGATGCCGTTGGGGTGGCAGAAGACACTGGACGATTTAAGCACATCTCCGTTGCGAGATTCGCATCACGAACACTCGACCACGAACTCGAAAAGAACACCCGAACCGTCATACCGTTCTTTAGCTCTACATTTATCTTAATGGGAATTTTCTCTTTCGTAACTTGCATGATGGGTGACTGGGTGCGCTCTAAGCCGTGGCTGGGTCTGCTGGGAAACATTTCGGCCGTGATGGCAACAGCTGCCGCTTTCGGTTGTGCTATTTATTTGGGCATTTCATTCATCGGCATTAATTTGGCTGCACCCTTTCTAATGATTGGTAGGTTGATGATACTTATTTTATAACATTTGTTGCGTTGTACTTAGATATTTGAGCCTAAAATTTATTTTTAAAACAAAAATTTGCTGTACGTTAGGAACCTACAGATTTGTGTGAGTGGTTGTCTCCACACTTGAGTGATCATTATTCCGTTGAAACCTTCGGCTAATTTAGCCATTGGACAGTTGTTATGCAACGAGCTTTATCCACGTATTTATTTACAGGCATCGGCATTGACGACACTTTCGTAATGCTGGCTGCATGGCGACGCACCTCCTCCCAGCTGTCCGTGCCGGAACGTATGGCAATCATGTTGTCGGAAGCCGCCGTGTCCATAACCATCACTTCTGTCACGGATATGTTGTCATTCTTCATTGGTGTATTTTCCCCGTTCCCATCTGTTCAGATCTTCTGCATGTATTCAGGTATGTCATGATTTTAAAACCAATATTGCTATCTGCGATATTTCTCCAATAGTCCGCTCCAATCCAATAATTTACATTACCTTATTAAAATTCAAGGTCTGGCAGTATGTTTCACGTTTGTATGGCACTTGACGTTCTTTGCCGGCTGCGTCGCAGTGTCTGGATATAGAGAGAAGCAGAACAGACACACAATCACGTGGCTCAAGGTTCTACCTGAATCCAGAGCTCGAAAAGGTAAAATAATCGATCTAGATGCTTTATCATAGTAGTATTCAGTATATTCTTTTTAACTATCTTATTTTTTTCAGAAGAAAGATCTTGGTTATATAGAATTTTCTGCAGCGGCGGAGTTGACTCGGCAGATCCAAGCAATTCCATCGACAACAAAGAGCACTGCATCATGTTGTTCTTCAAAACGACTATGGCAGATATACTGAATAATAATTATATGAAAGCTGTGGTTATTATCGTGTTTCTCGCGTATTTGGCTGGGGCAGGATATGGAGTAACTAACCTTAAAGAGGGCCTAGAGAGAAGAAAGTTATCTAAGAACGATTCATATTCAGTGGAATTTTTCGACCGAGAGGACCTTTATTATCGAGAATTTCCTTACAGAATACAGGCAAGTCTCGCTGTGATGATAGGCTTTCAAAATTAGGATTTCCTGTTATTAAAAACGCAATTCTTTTAGGTTATAATAAGTGGTAAATACAATTACTCCGATCCTATGGTCCAAAAAGAGGTTGACATTCTAACGAAGAGTTTAGAAAACACCTCCTACATATCCAACTCACTGTATACCGAGTCTTGGTTGAGGACTTTTGTGGAATATGTGGAGAGCAATAACGACTACTTAAACATTTCCATTGATACGGAGCAAGATTTCATAAAGAACCTGAAAGAGGTCAGTCAAATACACTACTGTGTTCACAAAATAAGAAACGAAATTAATTTTACCTTTTGTTACCTTTTTCCAGCTCTGGCTTTTCCCCGCAAATCCGTTTTCGTTGGACGTTAAATTTGACGAAACGGGAGAAACGATTATCGCATCAAGATTTTTGATCCAAGCTTTAAACATCAGTGGGACTAATCACGAAAAGGAAATGGTGAAAGCCCTGAGAGAAGTTGTTGCACAATCTTCATTAAATGTCTCAGTATTTCATCCATACTTTGTATTCTTTGACCAGGTATTGTATAAAATAATTTCATTAATAGATACTTAGGGATGCTAGAAATTATTTCATGCATTTTTTTTCCTTTTCAGTTCGAGCTAGTTCGCCCAACGTCCATACAGAATCTCTGCTACGGAGCTCTAATGATGATGATAACGTCTTTTATTTTTATTCCAAACATTTTATGTTCTTTGTGGGTAGCGTTCAGTATAATATCCATAGAAGTCGGAGTCGTAGGGTACATGGCATTGTGGGATATAAACCTCGACTCTATATCGATGATTAACCTTATAATGTGTATAGGATTTTCAGTTGATTTTACTGCACATATTTGTTACGCGTACATGTCATCCAAAGCGAAATATCCGAATGAACGCGTCAGCGAATGTTTATACTCTCTAGGGTTGCCAATCGTTCAAGGTTCCTTCAGTACTATTTTAGGAGTCGTCGCCTTACTATTAGCGGACAGTTATATTTTCTCGGTATTCTTCAAAATGGTATTTATGGTGATATTTTTCGGGGCTATGCACGGATTATTCCTCTTGCCGGTGCTTTTGTCTCTCTTTGGACCGGGTTCGTGTACGCGCCAGCACGACGACATTAGACTCGCAAAGATTGAGAAATGCTATCCCAATCCGTATTGTTTACCGCATCCTCAATTGACACTCGACGATCAAATCTATAGTGGAAAGAACGGGAGCCCTCACGGAATCTATAAGATTTATAGCGAAGACAAAGATCTAGGAATAGGAACATCCGGGGAGGACACCAGCGAAAGCAGTTCCAATCAATCGCAACGTCGACAAGCAATAAACGAAGACGGTAAAAGAAAGTACGAGAGCGGCTGGGCGAGGTTTAATTACGGCCAAAGCGGCAGCGAGTTTCGGCCTTCGGGAGAATTAGACATCTACGGTCAGGACGGCGAGAGAACTTGGCAAAAGCAACGATATGAAGCGAATCGCCGAGCGTTCGAAAATTACAGGCGAACACCGGGATTCAGTGATGACGAAGCGGTAATGTCGCGAAAGTCGAGCGACACGACTCCGCGGAGAGAGAACAAGTACAGAGTTACGCGGACCCATTCGCACCATAACCTACACAGGCCCCGAGCTCCGAGGCGCTCAAACTCACACCAAAATCTAGAAAACCATAACTATATAGCTGAGTTGCGTTTTCCTTGACACAAAAAATATAATTCCTTCTTGAAGCGTTTGTACGAGAACACGTTTCTTTGTGCTCAATTTGTGGACCAAAGTATTATTTTACGGGAAGATATACAATAATTCGTAGACTAGGTCGGTCGTGAGACACGGTTTACCTACTAGTTAAGCGAGCTATTATGTAAGGAACGACTCCATCGATCAATTTGAAAGAAATATTGAAAATAAAAACACGAAAAGAATTAACATAAATAAAACTGTTGGTATAAGTCTGGATTGGATAGATTTGGAATTAATTTTATTAATTAATAGGGTTTATAGCGAAGGTAAAGGATTCGAAATAAGTTTGTTATCATTTGTATCTAGAGAGCGTTCTTTTAAAATTGTTTTTAATTGCTAGGATAAGTGTAGAAAAAAAAATGTCAATTGTATAATTTATTTCGTCAATATGTTCCTTCATCTATCTTATCAAAATATCGGTCACGTTCGCACACCATAAACTAAAAGCGAGCTGGCTGAGTCCAGAACTTCTGAACGAAAGTCAAGTCGCGTGTTCCTTTTTATATTTACAATATTATTTTCATAAAAAAATACAGATGCTATATATTATTACAATATATGTCTGGGTGGGTCTATCGTAATATCGTAATGTCGATTTTGTAAATATATATGTAACATACTTTTTAATTTTGTGATAAATTTCGATGCCATGTACCTTTGATCCGCAGAGTGTTAAGGCACCGAAACCAGTTAAGTCATAAAATTCCCTGCATTTTATATAAAACTGTTCCCAAACGTCTACACCTGAACGGCGTCGGGCGTCGACCGACGACTGAAAACTGTACATATATTATTTTAATATTAAAATTTAAAAGTTTAATATTCGTTTTATTGTAGCCATAAAAAGAGACATCTCGATTGTGAAATAATAAAATCGGTCGAAACCTTCCGAAAAGAACGACTAAGGACTATCGGTGATCGTCTTCAGGATATTACACCAATAGGCGATGGCGTCTTTCGTCTCGAACCTCTCCCGAAGCAAAGTGACCACGAACTCTGCCATTTTGCCTTCGTCTCGCAGCAATCTCCTGACGAAGGCCGCGCTCAAGGCCTCCAGGCCTCTCTCGTCCAAGGCCATCGCGACATTGGGATTCTGAAAATGTTAAATTTACGATTTTAAAGACACCTTCCGTACTCAAACCCCTTTTGTTTCGGAGACACTGTCACATGTCACTCACCGCACTCAAGTATTCGGCCACGTCGCTCTCTCTTATGCGATCCCCGCCCGTTCGCTCCGAGCGGTGCTCTTCGTCAGTCTGGGAGGAAACCGAGGAGACCTCGGGTGAGTCGCTCTGCACTCCCGCGTCGGCCTTTCGGTGATCGGCTTCCGGAAGGGGCCGATGCGGCCGCTCGACGCCCGCGCGGTCGACCTCCGTCGGAGGGGCGAGACCGCCGACCGCGACCTTTCCCTCGAAAGCTTCGACCGACGGACGAGGCGGCGAGGTTACGTTCTCGACGGGGTCTTCGCATTCGGTCAATCGGCCCAATGTAGGGTCGCAGTCGTCGAGGTCGCTCGGGTCCAGGCCGCCGGCGGTCGGCGTCCGACCCGAAAGCGAGTCCGGGACGTCGGTCGAGCCCGAAAGGATGCTCTCGACGGTTTTGGCGAGAATCTTGTCGAGCCGCCTCTGAGACGCGGAGGTCTGGCCGAGTGGGCGGAGGAGCGACCCGTCCGGTCTGTCCGGTCGTCGGGGCGCGGAGCTCTGAGGGGAGCGGAGCGCGCAGGGGTCGATGTACTTCTTCACGCAAACCGACGTGGACACCGGGGGATCGTGGAAGCTCACTCGTTTTCTCTGAAAATAGACATCGGCGTTGTAATGGAGACGAAACGACGAGTCCGGGGAGGGACGACGGAGGCCTACCTTGCCGGCGGGGGAGGGCGTGGAGTCCTCGGCGATGACGGCGTGCTTCCTCTTGAGAATGGGGCCGCAGGGGCTGCTGTCGACGGCGGGCAGGACGCGTCCCAGCCGCAGGAAGGGTTCGCCGTCGTCGGCCTCGTCCGAGCTGCCGACGTCCGCGGACCTCTTGAGATTCCTGATCGTCGACCTCGACGTCTCGTCTGGCGGGAGTCCGTCTCCGTTGTGGACGCAGAGGCCCAGCATTTGCGCCGCCCTTCCGGCCGGCCGCACTTGCGGCTTCCTCTTCGGAGTCGGTCCCGAGCCGGAGCAGCCCTCGCTCCCGACCGGCTCTCCTCTGGGAGGCGACAGATCCCTCGCGTCCGTATTGTCCTCCGTGAAAACTTCAGGGGAATCGGCCGGATCCGCCGGTTCTCCGTTGAGCAGGACCGAAGACGTGAGATTTACGACGACGTAATCGCCGCTCGTCTCCGGCGAAGGCGTCCTCTCGCGCATCAGAGGACTCATCGTCCTGATCGGAGATATTTCTAAAGTGTCGTCGAGAAAGTCCCTTCTCCTCCGCTCGTCGTCTTTGAGGGGAGAAGAGGCCTCGTCTCGTCTCTCGGTCGGTTCGGTCGACTTCACCGTCGGTCGTGCGTCGACGGAAGACACGAAAGCAGCGTTCGAGACTTCTTCGACGCGTTTCGTGGAATTCGTCGGGCACAGTTTCGTAAATTCGTTTGCTTTAGATACACACGAATCGATAACTTCCTCTTTGATTATGTCAATTGTAAAATTTACGGGTTTAGTGTCGGCATCTGCAGTACTCTGCGTACTCGATTCTAAACAGTGATTAGTTTCGGAGGTCAATTCACATTCGTCCTCAATTTGTGCACGATATTGCGTATTTGTGGGTTCCGTGTCTAACGCTTCCGTTAAATCGGTCTGCGTGTCGAAGACCTCGGAGTTCGCTTCTTCCGCCGAAAGGTTGGGTCGAAGTACGGTATCATTTTCGGGTAATACGCTATCGCACACGTCGCTCGGCAACAAGGTGTCTTCGAAGCTGTCCCGGAAATCCGAAATATGTTTATCTTCGTTATGAGAAGACACCGTCGCTCTGTTCGCGACGTTTTTCGTGGAGACGACCGACACCGCCGTGACCGACGAGTCTTGCGAGCTCTCGATGATGTCTTGGGACGCGGAGTCCGGGGCCGGCCGGCATTCCTCAGCGGCCGGGGTCATTTTGGATTTGTTCCTCGTGGCGTAACTACCGATATCGATTCGTACGATCGGAAGCGTCGATTTCACCATATCTATAGCCAAAAGTTTTTTAATGCGTGATTCCTTTGAGCCACTTCTTTTAAACGGCTTTGTGCCGCTTTCCTTTGCGTTTACAGTTTTCGGAGTGGCGACCTCATTCTCGTCTTCGTGGGGCGCGTCCTCGGTTTCGAGAGGCGAGTCGTTATCGGTAAAACGTGAAGCTCCGTCTGCCAATTTTAAACTGTCGTCGGAGTTTTTTCGCAAAGGGTAAGAATTCAGTATCGTATCGACGGCGGAATTAGTGTTTTGATTTGATCTTCGTTTGTATCCAAGAATATTCGAATCGATATATTTATTTGGCGGCTTTCTTTTACGTGACGGCCGTTCGGCCGCGATAGGCAAAGGCGACGCGGACTTGGCGACGTTGTTGTTGGAAATTTTCTCTTTCGACGAGCCGGCCACCGACGCGGCAGAGTTGGGCGCGTTCTCAGAGTCGAGTTTCGCCTCGGCGGGCAAAATGGACGGCAACTTATCACAGACCACCACAAGTTTACTGACGCTGTCTTTGCTCAAAAACGATTTTTCCGCTAAGTTCTTCACGTTTCGAGTCACGCGATGGTTGTTGATGGAGCAGATTTTCTCATTCGTCGAGCCGGCCACCGACGCGGCAGAGTTCGGCGCGTTCTCAGAGTTGAGTTTCGCCTCGGCGGGCAAAATGGACGGCAACTTATCACAGACCACAACCAGTTCACTGGCGCTGACTTTGCTTAAAAACGATTTTTCCGCTAAGTTCTTCACGTTTCGAGTCACGCGATCTTTGAGGAGTATTCGTGGAGAGTTGGAGTCTTTGATCTTCGGGGTCACCTTAGAGATGTCCGAATTTTTAGACGCGGACGACTGTAAGTCATTCGTTTTTACCACTTCGGGAACGGCCGTAGGGCTCCGCGTGACGTCGAATACGGCTCGGTCTATGGCGGCGCAGGAACCGAAGGATTTGCTGGAAGACGTCGTTTCGGTGGTATTGGTTTTCCACGTCCTCAGTTTGATATCGTCTTGCGACTGAGACAAATCTTGATACAGCGCCGGAATATCTTCTCGCTTACTTTGCAATTTGTCCTTCTGATGTTCCGTTAATTTTTTCGGATTAAATTTCCAATTACTTTCGATTTGGACAAATTCTTCTCCGTTTTCGACCACCGTTTTCACAATGTTGACACTCTTTTTGCTGTTTCTGGAGGGCGTCGACTTTCCGTTCGTCTCTTTGGCGTCGACCTCCGGCGACATCTTCCTCACGAGACTCTTGATCTCTCTGTCTTCGTGTGAAATCAACGAAGAAAATATTAGTTTCACGGGATTCGACAGCACCGACGGCCGACCCGCCAGATGGGACGCGAGCCGTTTCATTCCTTCCACGATGATGACGCTCGATTTCGAGTATTCGTCTATTTTTATTAAATCGTGAATACTCTTCAAAAAATATTCCACACGATGAAGTGAATCGGTATCCTGAAATGACAACAAAATAATGAAACAATCGAAAGCTTCTAGAGCGAGCGTATAGAACACGAAATGCGGGCGAACTCACTCCAGCCTCGAGGGTCGACAGCACTTTCGGCGTCACCTTCAGAGTGGTATTCGCGACGAGCAGCAACTTTTTGACGTCGACGACGTCTTTGTGAAACACGAAAGCGTCGAAGAGCGACTTCAAACAGTCGAGCAAATGCCAATAAATCGTGGGACCGATGAGTTCGTCGTCGATCTGCTTCGACAGAATTTTCAAGGTCAAATGATCCGGTTTCCGAGCGCCCGCTCCTGAAAATGTCAGTCTAAAGGTCGAGTTTAATTTCTAAAACCAGAATATAGAAGAGAACAGACATGGGACGAACCTCTCTCCTTGAAATCCTGCTTAATCAAGGAGACGATACTCGTCAGCCTCAAGGGCGTGTTCACCGATCTGTTTCCCGACAAGAACAACAACAGTCTATCGTTAACCGAGTGAGTTATCTTCGCGCTCGATTCGTTTTTTACGTTTCCCTCGTCCAGAAGATCATAAAAACTAATCCAAGTCGCTGAATATTTTTCTGTCTGTCAAAAATAATAAAAAAATTAAGAATCCTATCGCGATGCATCATCGCCGTCGAAGTGACGTTTCACGTTCCGGAAAGATAGCGATATACCAGATAGATAGTTCTACTCACGTTTGAAATAATATTTTGCTTGATCGGCCACATCACGAGGGCGACGATCCATTGAGAGTTGGAAAAATATTTATATTTCATCGTGGATTCCACGTAGCAGCTCCACAAGAGCACTCCCGATTCCGAACTCGGAAGCGATTCCAGTAAATTGTCCAAGCCCACGCTTCTGCCGTTCTCCAAGGCGTAATCCGTGAACGCTCCTATCTTTTTCGTCGTTTTGTCGATATCACAACTGCAAAAAGGCTTCGGTGCGATTAAAACGAGCCCTACGTCTCTTTCTCAGTCGTAGCTTACGCTCGACGCCTGAAGCCGCCACGTTTCGGGAAGAGCCCGTCGTCCGAGAGAATTCTCCCCGAGCACTCGGCGTTACTGTTTTGTAGCATTATTGTTTATTTAAAAAAGTTTAACAATTTAATGTAAAAGTGGTTCAGGTCGAATTCGAATTGAATTACTTTATTTTAATGTCTCTTTGGACGGTCGCTGTGCCTCTGCGGTCTGTCTCGGAACGTCGTCATATCAGCACGGGGTTTAAACCTTTCTCTTCAAAATAATAACAAAAAGCTTTACCTTGAATAAAAATTGTTATTGCAAGAATCCGCCAAGATGGCTTGTATCCTGCGGAAGACGCCACCCTCGCTCTCCACGAGCGCCGTCGTCGTTTCCTTGTCGAGCTCGAAGAGAGCGGGAATCAATTCGTCGATTGTTATTTTGGAAGTGTTGAAGCAGCATTTCTAGAAAGAGTATTCACGAATCATTGCTAAGCTCTGCAGCTCCGTTCGATAACTGGTCGAGAACGGCGTGTCGCGTTACCTGAAGGGATTTTTCTAAAATCTCTAAGAGTTTACCGAACATTTCTTCTCTTCTCGACGTTTCGCTCGGGAGGTCACACGTTTTAAGTAATAATGATTTCCAAGCACATTTTAAATACCCGTTCGCTCGTTCCGATTCCCATTCCACGCAAATGTCTAATGCGACACCGAAGTGATGTAACCAATTTTTGTTATCTTTGACTAAATGCTCTCCCGCGACGAGTGCGGTCTTCAGTCTTTCCAATTCACCGGAGCAGTCGCAATCGTGGTGTCCGAGAATATTTGCAAAAGCTTGGAGGCCCAAATTCCTAGTGCGACTCGAAATCATTCCCGGAGCCGCATTTTGGTTCGACGGCGGCGGAGATCCAAAGCAGAACGTTAGAAATGGCTGAATGTAATCGGATAAAATGTCACATTTGCCGCACAGGCTGATGAAGAAATGCCACCAAGTGCCAAGTTTTGCAAAAGCGGTATCCTCGAACTTGGCGTTGAAAGAAAGAAGCGGGACCGCGAGAAGCTTAGTTCTTCTGTTTAAACTTCTTCGACTCTGTGAAGTAAAATTATCTATAAAAAATCTCCAGCACTCGAACGCCAAGCACCTGTTCTTGGGATCGTTTTTGAAAGCAATTTCTTCCACTTGTAACAAGGCATTGAGGGTGGAAGCCGTTATGTTGAATTTCAACAGATTTACAGTAGCAATCCACAGTGGAGCCCAATGATTTTGATCTTCTTTTAATAGATTTAAGATTATTGGCGCATACCTGGAATTAACCGACATTGATAATATTAAACATTTGTAAAACTGACCTTTTGCCAAATATTGTCGAGGACACAATAACTTACTGTGAAGGTATCTTTGAGAGGAAACTCTTAAAATGTATATTTCCAACATAGTGCTTTGATTCTGTTGAAAGTTCTTTTGATAGAACCCCTAATAACTCCAGTGCTGCATTTAATCCAGAACTGTTTTCTTTTGCTATGTTAAAAATAGTTGGTATGAGGCTCGAAAACCAGGTATTTATCCCATCTCTAATAAATTTGCTCTTTTTGTCAGCAGGCAAAATTGTTAACAGTTTCAATGTTAAAATTAGAACCTAAAATTTAAATTTTCTTGAGTATTGTATAAATATGGCGAATATATTGTCATTATATTATAATATATTACATATTGTCATGTATTATACTGTCAAATTTTCTATCAATATCAGCAACACTGTCATAAAAGCATAAAAAATATCATCATAGTCGTAGAATAGTGAGAGATCTGACAAATAGTAAACTTTACAGGGCAACCATTTCAAAATAATATAATCATGTTACTTTTTGTCATAACTATTGTAATTCATAATCTGTTGTTATGAAAATTGGCATACAAGTAAACAAAAGGGTTTATTTTGAAACAAAATAAAAATAATAACATTACACAGTTTTCTAGAAAAATCACATGTTTCTATCGAATCCGTCACTTTGCTGACTGATTAATTTGAAATTTAAGAATGCATGAATTTTTTTTTTATATAGCCTTAATATTTAGTATATGTTGTATCCAAATATGTTAAAGTGGATTTTGTTTTTTTTTTAAATCCAACATTGTTCTACGATCATGACAATATATAGCTATAAGCATCTTACTTGTTCTACTACTTCAACCGATGATTCCTGGTAATATTTTTCCATAACAATATAAAATTCATTGGCATATTCATCTACTGCTGTTATCAAACATTTATCAGGAAATGATAAAACAATTTCAAAACATAATTCTTTTAAAACACAAAATTTAAGAACACTGGCATTTGATTTGAGATTATTCAAGACTGCTAATAATAATGCAACTAATCCTGATGAATTGTTTTGTTCCTTCTGTAAGAAAGAAAAATCTTTAGTCAGTGTACAAAAGACATTGGTTTATTATACCTATGTAGTTACAATTGTTTTGTGGCCATAATACTTACGTCTTCTTTTTTTAAAATACTTGATAAGATTTTTAAGCTCGAAATGGCAAGTGTGTTTTTTTTGCTGTATTCATGTAGGCAGAGTGTTAATAATTTTTCAAAATCTGATGACTTAAGTCGATTTTCTGCTTCTAAGTGTTTAAGTATTGCAGCATAGGTCCTCTTGTTAAGATCATAATCACTTAGACTTTCCAAGAGATCGCCGAGAGTGCTGTTGGCCTGTGTGTCTGCCATGGCTAAAAATTTAAAAGTATTGTATTGTAGTGATTACTGCAGTAAACAGTGATTAATGTAGTTCTTTCACTCACCTTAACAAGTAAAATGTCATGTGTTTATTGAAAAAATGTGTCCACAAACAGTGGATTAGTTTTTTAGTAGAACAATTTAAAAAAATTAACAAATAGGACTAATATCGTTATTAATTATAAACACAATATTACAATTTAGAACGCGGTAAACTTATAAAGCTCTGTGTAAACTGTAAAATCAGATCCATAGATGATAGAGTACAGTATCGTATATAGGATAAAGAGTTGACACTCGGCATTGTAGCGCACTAGCGCTACCTGGAGGTAGTTGTGCTACCAAACCAAAATTACCAAAATTTCTATGCTAAGAATTTTTAATTACCATCTACCATTTAAATAATCTTGGATTATTTTATTGGTTACACTATAAGGTTGATACACTAAGACCATAATATATATTTTTTAATTAGTATATTATGTAGAAATATAATGAAGAAAAAAAGGGTGCGTTTACTTACGAGTATGTACGCGCGTAAGCAGTTATACTTCTTTGGCATTATTAATAATACATACGGATAGTTAACCTCAATTGTATTGAAGCACTTAGGAAGGTTGATGAGCACAGTTTTTTCACAAATATTTTCTAATATTAATTAGTATTGATTTAAATATTCAATTTAAATCACTTCTGATTATAATTCAGATGCACATATAAAATTCGCACGTGTATAATGAAAACAAAATGAAAACACGTGTTTTAAATGTAGAAACTCAAAGCATGTGGATAAATATTATAAACATAAATACACAGTGAACAGAGGCGGCGTGCGTGCTGTTATATATTTAAAACCTTAGAAACAACCCTATGTCAACCTTTATTTTAGCAAGCTTGCATTCTTCTATTCAACTGCCATGAGCATTATCTTTCAGCTTAAAGTCAGTACCATTTTACGATTCAAACCGAGCAGTTGCCTTTCTTAATCTATATTTCTAAATAAATCCTTTGTGTCAAATAAATTCTTTTTTAATACTCTAAATCCGGGACGTCGTATAACATTGGTGGCAGCTCAAGGGATTTAAAAAAATCCTCGGTACGCCTCAGTTTGGCAGTCGCGACTAACGAGTGATTACAAAAGTGAATATTTCTGTGAATAACTAGATTTTCCTATTCGCCGTGGATTCTGAAATTATCCTGTAAAGAAACATCCACCGTCTTCACCCCATACATCAAAGATGTTCATTGGTAAAACTGCAGCATCCCTATAAGTCTTCCAAAAAATCCTATATATTCGTATTTCAGTGTGTTGTGTGAAAACAATTAGTGAAGTTTAAAGTGCTTGTAGGTGATTGATTAACGTGTCGTATTGAAACAGTGATGTGTTCTGACAAGAACATATCAGAATAGTTACGGTCGTGTGTTCTGAAAAGAACAGTTTCATCGTGTCGTAAGACACGGTAATATGTCCTGACAAGGACAGTTGTTAAGCGTTTTCGTCGTGAAACAAGAATAATATGTCCTGAAAAGGACAGTTGTTAGACGTTTAGTCGTAATACGATAATTTGTCCTGAAAAGGACAGTTATTAGCGTTATCGCAAGGCTACGATATCGAAGTGTTCTGAGAAGAACACGTTCGTACGCTTAGACGGCTGCGTGCAGAAAAAGGCCAACTTTTTGCCGCGCCGCATTTTTATCGCCTACTCTGGTACCTGCGCAACCAATCAACGCTCCGCATCTTGGTACCACATGTCAATATTAGTTGTAAGTGTAGGATAATTTTTAAGTATAATTGTACACAGTTTTGTAAATAAATATCATTCATTCATTATTCCATCTTCACCTCTTCTCTACAAGTAATTAGGGAGTTTTATTTTAACATCGACCAAATAATTCTGAAGCAATCAACCCTCAAGCAACATCTCTAAAGTGGTGACCCCGAGAAGAACAACCCCGTGAAGAACAACCCCGAGAAGAACACCAAGAACATTGAAGATGTCGACAACAGAAACTTCCGGTGCAGAGCGTCAAACTTCATCAACACCGTCGAGCCAAGAAGTCTCCGGCATTTCACTGTCGCTCCGCGTGCCACCATTCTGGCGTGACCAGCCGCTCCTCTGGTTCTGCAGTTTCGAAGCAGCAACCGCCGATCTAAAACGAAGCCAGGCCCAGCTCGCCCAGATGGTCATCGCACAGCTTGAAAAGCAAGACATTCAAAACATCGCTGACCTCATTTGCTCGCCGCCGGAAGCAGATTACTACAACGCAATTAAAGACCGTTTAATATCGCTATATGAAGAGTCTAACAGCGCACAAACGAAGAAGCTACTGTCGCAAGTCGAGCTTGGAGATCAGAAACCCAGCCAGCTGATGAGTTTTTTTTTTTTTTTTTTTGAGAAAGGAATCTCGCTGTTGGCCTTTAGGGCCTTGACAGCTCAGCTCGGGCTGTTTTGGCGAGCGTAGCTCGACCAGAATGAGCGTTTTTCCCGCGACTAGCGCAAGGGCGTCTCCTGTGAGACTCGAACCTCGGCTTGGGCCGTCACGGGGTGGTCAATCGCCTGAAGGGCAGGACGGAAACTCACTGGAGTGAGCGAAGTGCGAAATAAAGGTCCTCGCCTTCCCCGGTGAAGGCGGTTTTTAACCCTAATCTGTGTCTGAATACTTTGATTGTTATTATTTGCCGCGCGGGCGGCTTTTAATTTATTGTTTGCTACAGTAATTGGATCATCCGGATCCGTTAGTGTGTGTCGGGGCCTCCTATGACATTTTTTAGCCGGCGGAAAGGATAATAGTTGATGCTTTTACGCACCAAAGGGTTGGGATGGTGTTTAGCCTTGTCGAAGTGGCGTGCGGACGCCAACTTCATCCATTGGGCTATGGTAGGGAGCTCCAGGTCGTGGTGGAGATCGACGTTTCTCACATAGAGGGGCGCCCCGGTCGCAACTCTCATGAATCGCATCTGAAGCGCCTGTAGCCGGTGGATGTAGGAGGGGGCACAGTGCGCAAATACTACGCTAGCGTATGTCATGCACGGTCGGATGCAGGCCTTGTACAAAGTCACCTTATGTCTAAGGGACATGTTACTCCTTTTGTTTAGGAGGAAATAGAGGCGAGAGAGGACGAAAGAGGCCTTCTTGCGAACGGCGGCTACATGCTTACGGAAAGACATGTCGCTATCGAGCGTTACTCCTAGATATTTGACGGATTTTTGCCACGGGATGGCTTGCCCGTATAGGGTTACCTCTTTTTGAGGTGGAATTTTTCCCGAGAAAGAGCGTTCGCACCGGGGTTACCCCTGGCAAAGAGAACTGCGACGCTTTTCTCGGGATTTATTTGGAGGCCCCATTTCCGAAACCATTCGCCTAGCGACGTGATAGCGGTCTGGAGTCTATCCACGATGACACCTCTGTCCTTGTGAGTGGTATAGAGAGCGGTGTCATCAGCATAGAGGGCTAGTTCCACGTTAGGAGCCCTAGGAATGTCGCCTGTAAACAGCGTGAAAAGAAGGGGCGAGAGGACCGAGCCTTGAGGACTCCGGCCATGATGGGTCTAGGGGACGATAACGTCCCTTCAACACGATAGCGCATAGAGCGGTCGGACAAGAAGTCGTGTACTATACGCACGAGTCTTAATGGCACTTGAAGGTGGTAGAGCTTGTAAACCAAGCCGTTGTGCCAGACCTTGTCGAAAGCCTTCGCTATGTCTAAGAAGAGCGCACCCGTGGCTCTTGGTCTCGTGGTGCTGTTATTCAGCCCGGAAAGGATGTGCTCCGTGATTCGATGGACTTGGTGGACGCACGAGTGGCCTGGTCTAAAAGCCAAACTGCTCATCGGGAATGAGCCCCTTTTCTAGGGCAAAGTCTAGGAGGCGCTTTTTAACTACCTTCTCGAATAGCTTGCTTAGCGTGTTGAGAAGGCTGATAGGGCGGTAACTGGTGGGATTGTTACGGGGCTTGCCTGGTTTGTGAATACCAATTACAATAGCCTCTTTCCACTGCGCCGGGAAGGTGCAGTTTTCGAGAAGGCAATTGAATATGGCCACTAGTAAGCATATCAGATGGGGCGGGAGGCATCGTAAGACCTTGTTTGAGATGGCGTCGAGACCTGGTGATTTACGAGGCAGTGAACCCTTGATTAGAGTTTTGACCTCGGCGATCGACGTAGGAGGGAGCGGCTCGGGAGGGAGGGGCAGTGCGACTATGCGTTGGACTTCGCGGTTCACGTGCTCAACGTGCGCCGGGTCGCTATGGTCGAGATAAGGCGTGCACTGCTCTACTAGGTTTACGGCTAAGCACTCGGCTTTTTCGTCGTCATCGAATGCGTCAGGTTGATTTGGACGTTTTAGCGGGGGCATGGAGGCCACCGTGTCGGTTTTTAGGGAACGCGCGAGAGACCAATAGGCCGTGTGCGAAGGTGACAATTCGCTGGTAAGACGGTCCCAGCGTTCGTTTCTAATTTCCCGTATGCGCTCTTTAACTCGGCGCTGCGCGGCGCGGAGTGCTCTACGGTTATCATCGGTCGGTGCCCTAGCGAAGGCGCGAGTCGCCGCGTTCTTCTCGGTCAGTAAGCGCCTTGCGTCCGGGGAAGCTCCCAACGTTGAGCGAACTCATCTGGGACCTTCCGGGACGATTCGGCGACCTTGGTCTGAATGTGATATGTGACCGAGGAGAGCGCGTCTAACGCGTGAGCGGACGAGACTAAATTGTCGGGGATGTTATTAAGGTCAGAGACTTCGACGGGCTTGAGGGCCTCGTCTAGTTTCTGCCAGTCGACAATGGACTTGTACCTCTTCTCTTGGGTGTTAGGAGGGCCGAATTCAAAATGAACCGGGAAGTGGTCAGAGTCTAATTCGTGTAGCACCTCTATGCTTCGCGGCTGTAGTGCCACGTTGCGTAGAATCGCCACGTCTAGAACGTCCGTTGAGAGAAGACCGTTACAATTTATACCGCGACGAGTCGGATGAATGGGGGGCAATGACATTGAAATCGAGTA